CCATATTTCTTTAGAGCCTCAAGCCTTTTTTTGTATCAAGTTAAAAAAAATTGTTTAATTATAGGTCCATATATTTGCCAAATTTACATATCATTCGAATTGACCCCCAAATTAAATATATCGGTTGAATATTTACATTCACCCATAAACGGGCTTGCCCCTGGGGAAAATCCCAAGTGTTATCGATATTTCTCAATCATCACTCTATAAATTTGGAATCTTTAAGTATGTGCTTGGGACCCAAATTGAAACCGAAGTGCGAGATGGGGCATCCTTTTCCCTTTTTGTGGCACCTGCCTGCGAGCAAAGATTTCGGCCGGCAGACACTTTTACTTTTATATCCTGTTAACAACCCGTAATTTGGCCAATTTAGCACTTGTAAACGCGCTTTCGCCGCTCTAATGAGGTACAAAACGTTTGTCCGCCGAGAAAACAGAATCGCCAAAATAAGAAGATCGCTTTTGGGCCCGGTCAAAATTAACATATAAAATAACGAAGGAAACCAAAAAAAAAAGGGGGGGATACACCTCTCTTGACCCAAATTGCACGTTTTCTACCCGGGAGACGGATATTCAGTCCACATCCACCATAACCACCGGTGATGGACTCGCATTAAATCTGCCCAGAATGGGATGTGCCCGCTGCAAGTGGAGCGCAATTACACAAATCTGCAGAGGATTCGGAGTCGGATTTCAGACTTGGTCTGGTGTTAATTTATGCGTTGGCCATAAAAAATCGCCACCAATTACCTACGAAATGCTTCAATTATGGCCTGCGAACAGCTGCTGGGCAGAAACCCTTTTTAGCACTCCCGGCAACTTGCCTTTGAACTTGAACGCCGATCTGGAAGCATATCTAATTTGGGTGCACCGATTTACCCAAGGCCAACTGGCCACAGATCGCAGATCCATGAAATGCTCTATTTTATGTGAATTCCTGCGTTCATTTCGTGCTCAAATTGTAAACAATTCCACGGAAAAACATACGACTGCGATAAGTGCAATCGTCGGGGTAACTGGGGCATAAAAGTGCAAACACTGAGGGGGATTTGGAGAGTGGGTTTGGGGATCGGGGATCGGGTTACGGTTACCCACCCGACTGACATTGACCAGAAGCGTGTCACGGAGTCAGAGTCACCATCACAGTCCATAAGACCCGCGGACTCGCTGAGTTGTCACCCGTCATTAGCCAGTCGAGTGTTTTGATAAAAAATGATTCGACTTCGGCACGGGCAGCACTTTCATTGGAAACCTTGAAATCGAATCTGCTGGACAGCGTTATATCGTTATATCGTCGATATCGCTGACTCAATTGATAAAGGAGACGAGAACTCGGGGCGGAAGGTAATCAGGAATAATTTGCATATGCCCAATGAGCTACTCGTTTCGCGCAACTGCCTTCTGACTTCTGCCCGCCACTTGCCACTGATTAATGTGCTCATTTAACTGGGTAAACAGCAAGAAATTTGGGTAATACTCAGGATTCAATTAATATGGTTAGCAGCTCTATATATGTTTTTTCCTATATATGTTTTTTCTAATTAAAATTCAAATTTAAAGTACGTCAAGCTTAATATCAAGTATACACATATGTAAATATTATTTTAAAATATTTAAGAATCTTTTAAAAATAAAATTTATCATCCATATTATATTTTTTATTATAGAATTAAGCTTAAAATGATTTGAACTGATTTATTATGATTTGAAAATGTGTTTTTGTAAAAGGATCAGATTTATATCGGCATGAATTTTGTTGTAAATTCTTAAAATCAAAATAATCAGAAAAGCAATCTTATTTTCCCTTGCTAAAAATGTATTCATATGAAACAGAAATATTTAATAATTTTAGAAAGATATTGAATAGGAAGTTTATTAGGAGTTTTCAGAGTGTAAGCTGTTGGATTTTTAAAACTTCTTAATTTTTCTTGATTTCAAAAGAATTGTGAAAGTTGAATTCTAAATTTTTATTCAAAGTTAAGTTGGCAAAGATTTCAGCACGGGTAAGGATTTTTAATTTATCAGTTTATATAATGCATCTAAATTTTCTGCAGTGCTGAGACCTCCTTATTTCACTCGTTTTTCTTCATTTCTGATGGTTTAATTGGCGACAATTGTCGGGTTGCGACTGATGAAAGTTCACTCCAGTGGCAGGTGCGTGTCCGAGTCCGAGTCCCTGTCTCTGTCCAGTCCACTCCTGTCAGTCCTGTTCCACTTTTTTCCTTGCCTGATCCTCTGAAGCGCCGTGATAATTAGGCCAGAGCGAAAAGCAAGAGTACTGCTAATGAAGCTCATTTGCCGGAATTGAAGGGGGGAATTAATTTTCTGGAGCTTTGGCCAGGCAGTGGCAATCAAAAGCGGTTTTGTCGCATTCCAGGACTGCGACTGAGCCTGGGAACTGTAAACACACAATTAGTTAACCAATGAACCGATTAATCAATCAGGTTTCTCAAACGACAGTCAATAAAGAGGTGCCTAGTTAAACGCAATTAGGTCGTGTTCAAAAACATCGAACCCCTATATTAAAGCTGACCTCTTCAATGATTTAATGAGCAATTACATAAGTAAGTGCTGTTTATTTTTCACGTCTTATCCCTTTTATGCATTTATTAAGTGTTATTTTGCAGAACTTAAAGTCTACACCTTCTTCGTAAGCTCAAAATAGCTTGTAAACTAAAAAACTATAAGAAATTTTATAGGCTTGTTTTGGTGTAGCATGATTATAAGAAAATTGACCTAAAAATAATATAATAATATTTAGAGTTACAAAAAAAGAATAGCGAAACAAGGAAGAGATCTTAGAATCACTTTTAGAGATCTAAAATATATTTCTTCATAGACTGCTTTAAATAATATTTAATGTATGTGTACAAATATATTGATTTATAAATGTTTAGCTTTTAAATTGGTTATTGGTAGTAATAGATTAGGTTTAATACAAATAACTAGCCAAACATTTAAGTTATGTTAGAAGAAAGGGGTTGAATCGGTTGCTTTGAATCGGTAGAAAGAAAAACATGAGTACAAGCCACAATCCTTCTCGCATTTCCTCGAGTTTCCCCTAAAAACGGGCACCTTCAAAGTCGGGTTACACCCACACATTCCGTACCCAGAATCGGAATGCGTATGATCCTCGACTCCTGTGTGGCCGATCGACTGGTAGCTAATGGATCTACACCTCGGGATCGGACTCAGCCTTTAACCAGGGGCTACTTAGCAAACAAGAAGTCTGGGACCAGCACTAACACCAACTGCAGATCGCTCCCCAGACAATTGCCACATCACGCTTGTTTGCCCGCACATTAACGCCGACGACGATGCGGATGATGATAATGATTCCAGTACCAGTTGCAATTGCAGTTGCAGCGAGGCTAGAAACACTGATGATGACGAGGCGAGACAAATCCTTTCGGTCTGGAAATCGGGCCTGGGATTGTGATTGTCTTGGATAAACATTTGCACAGGGCGAGGCATTAGGACAAAGCGGCGGACAACGCGTGATCGTGATCGCACAAACAGAGATCAAGATCCCAAACCCTTGACCAAACCCATTTGACCATTTGGGTGGGCTGAAACGTGTACGAAGCTATTTTGATAGCCACCGTATTTTCAAAGAGAGTGTTGTCGTTGTTATTCCCTATTTTCTGGTAGCCGACCGCCTGGCGTCAGTCGCGCGCTGTTTGCCTGAGAAATTTAAAAAGCGGAATGATTAATGTGAGGCAGGACAGTCGAAGTAGAAGTCGAAGTCGGAGTGGAATCATCAACCAGATGAGGGAGCAGCCTCGCTGGCAAACAACATAATCAAGCGCACATCCGTTCCACCTCGGGACTTGTCTTCTGGACCGCTCGCCCCGATACCGATCCCAATGCCGATTCCTATCCCGCCCTCTTCAAACTCCGCTGGTTATGCTAATGGAGCGACGAGTTCGTCACCAAGCAAACACAGATTCCTGGAAGCCAAGCAGCAGAAAAACGACAACAAAACGTTTGGGAATGGGAATGGGAATGGTAGTGGAGGCACAGAAACCGGCAGAAACAGACCTGCATTCGGCATTAGGTTCGAAAAGTTTCTAGGGGGAGTCAATTCAGTGACTGACCATCCGCCAGGAGCGGAGTTTCAGCATAGGGGTTACAAAAAGAAGTTGTTAGATTTTAATTAAATAAAATTAATTTCTAGAAAAACCACACAGTCATTTAGGTAGGGACTTTTAAGCAAACAAATCTTTTGAACTTTAATATATTTCGTTATACAAACAGGCTTAATTTTACTTTATGAATTAAGTTGAATGGAGTTCTGCAACCCATATACTAATTTCTAATTACATTAAACATTTTAAAGGACAATAAATTTTTGCTTAAAATAAATGTATAGACGAGATTTCAATATATGGATTCAATTAAACTTAAAATAATCAACTAAACAAAAATCATTTAATGATTTAAAAAAAAAAAAAAATATATATACCTATACCTATTTAAATAGTGTATAATAGCCATTTTTTTTTAAATTTGAGAAACTATTTAGCAATTAACAGGCTTAACTATTATAATACGAGCTCTGATATTTATATTTACTTATACAAACATGCTTTACATGTGAATAAAAAACACTTTGATAAGGGCTTTGCAATCATAATGTTTTAAATTTTTTTATAGCTGTCGTTTAAGTAATTTAAACTGAATTGCGACCTGAAACACTTTGCATATTTGGCACTTGAATTTCACTGTTTGGCTGCACAAACAAGAGTCTCTGATTTCCGCGAGTTATTTACATTTTTTTCGGTATGCCATCGCACATTTAGCTGACTTTGGCAAACGGCGAGGTGGCGACCTCCATCCGCTCCTGATCGCGTGGATATAGATATAGATATAGATATAGTCACGCATGGAAGCGAACACTTGGCGGCAGCGGAAGTGGAGACCACGGGCACGCGCTTTTGCTTCTTTCACCTTGGGGATTGGGGCTTGGGGATTGGGGGATTGGGGATTGGGGTTCGGGGACTTGGGGATTGGGGACTTGGTCTTGGATCTTGGGTCCACGTTTGTGTCTGGGTCGCATACGTATTCGTATTCTTATTCGCACTCGCACTCGCTAAGTTGTCGTTTCTAACAGGGCTGGAATTATTCAGGCGCAACTTTGTCAACGCCGGCATCCCATAATTTGCAATTCGATGCTCTCTTTGCATTTCTGCGTGTTGGCATTTCATTTGTGGTCACCAGCGTGGACGGATTTGCATATGAATGAGGCACAGAGACAGGGGCAGAGTCAGAGACAGAGACAGAGCCATCAGCAAACAGTTGGCGTGGGTTAGGCCCTCCGATCCAATCTGAATCTTCAGTGCTGCGCATGCGCGCCTTCGCTTGTCGCCTCGTTGATTTGCAAACGCAATTGTGATGAACTGTCGTCTTCTCGGTGCTTCTCTGGGCTTCCGTCTCTTAGCCCCCCGGGTGCCGGGATGCCCAAGTCCACGACGAAGTCGAGTCTTTGACCGTCGCCGCAATTAGCATTTGAAGTTGCATTTCCATTAGCATTTCGTGCATAAATCAGCGTCTTAAGTGGCGACCAGTTCGGCGTCGTGTTGTTGTGCAAACAGTGGGACCTTGGGCCGAAGAATCTGAATCTGAATCTGAGGAATCAGAGGAAACAGTGGAATCAGAAGAGGAGCAGGCCGCAGGAAAGGGGTTTCGCTTCGTCATTAGGAATGCCTCGGGCACCTGCTAAACACGCTAACTGCTTTGCATCCTGTTGGACTGCGGATTGGGGATTGATGAGGTATCTTCTAACTTCTGGAGGTTTCCATCATTTTCAGGAAATGTTTCACGAATCTTGGTGAATTTTTTTATTTTCACTTGAAAAAGTGTAAATATTGAACTACTCTTCAGATAAAAAAAAAATGATTTGATATCCTACGCCCTTACAATGAAGTTAGTAATGATCACATACAAATTTGATTCTATTTTTATTAATAACAATTTTTTAATTCATTGTTTCATTACTTAATATTTAATAGATTCTGTTTTTGGTTTCCTTATTTCCAACCTACTTTATTTGTATTTTAATTGTATCTTTATGGTTTTTGGATTTGATTTGGTTTCCTTTAAATACCTCAATAATTTAGTTCAAGAGATTCTGTGATATAATTATTCCATTTTTGTATAAGTTTCAGTGGCACACCTAATTGAGCCTAGGATTCCTAAAAAGAAGACTTCCCTTAAAATATAGTCCGAAAATTTGAAAACCATCAAGCTTATAGAACTAGTTTCCCTTGAAATTCTTGCAGAGAGCACAGGTTTCCCATAACCCACTTCTGGTTCCCCATATTTGGTCACGTTTACCTTGCCAAAAAGCCCCCTACTCCGCGGTTCCCCAGATTTACCCAAAAAAAATTGTGTGTGCTTACCGCTCGGATGCTGACGTCAAAGATTTGCGTAGAGAGCGGTTGCTAATTTGGCTCATTGAGAAGCAGAAAACTGCGTGCGGATGTGTGCTTCGCTTGGTATTAAATAGGGGGCATTGGGGGAAAATTCTGCTGAATGAATGTGTACTCAAATGGTGCCGCTTGTTGCCGGGGGGAGGAGGTGGGGGAATGGGTGCAGACGTAATACCCAACGTATCTGCGGTCACATGAGGCCGCGTGCGTCAGGCGCTGCAGACGCGTGGCCCTGTGTCTCTAAGGCCCGAATCCGCATCTCTGCCCCATCCATCCGAAATACCAATACAGATACACCCGCACAGCGCCTCCCATTAAAATGTTTATGCGCAAATTGGCGGGGCATCGCTCATTATTGCATTACACTAATTGCACTTACGCACGCACCAACGAATGGCGCTCAACCTTGGGCCAGGATTATCGCGGTCCGGTTTAAAAGCCCAATCCGCAGATTAACAGTAGTTAAGCGATCGTTTAAGCGGCCAGTTAAAGTCTGTCTGTTTCGGTTTTCCGTTTTCTGTTTTCAGTTGGCCGCAACAATTGCAATTTTTCAGTGCCCAGCGTCCGTCGGCGAACGCGATAATGTCCGTCTCGATATGGCACTACTCTGTTTCTACACAGAAACAAATAACGGGTATTTTAAAGATGATATTTAAACTGGGACTAAAGGAATAAACAATAAAAGCTGATTTTATTTTAAATTTTACTTTTTTTTATATTTTTACCGTTGCATTATATTTAAATGCAACCAAAAATGGAGCATATAAAATCATCAATACTTAATTGCATTTTTGGATTACAGATTCGAATACGGCTATGATCTATGACGGCTAATTTTGATAGTTTATTTCTATTTATTTCTATTATTATTTATGGCACACAAAAAACACTAAAATATAAAAACTTTGTGTGTTTTATTTATTTTCCTGAATTAACTACCAACATCTAAAAGGGATGGTTATACAACAAACAGATTAATCCTTTATTATCTTTCGATGATTTTTATAGATTTTGTTTTATTATATTTGATAATCCAACAACACATATTTATAAATCATTAAATTTAAAAAATAAAAAAAATATATTATTTTATCTGTTCAAATTCTTGAAGTGTATCTGCAGCGGCAGCACCTGTAATGGCCCCCGAGGTGGAGGAGTGGTGGTGGGTGGCGGGATGGAGGCAGGGCATCTGGCTCGTCAGCCAAGGTTGGTTGCCAAGTCGTTGGCATCCACGGACATCGCAACACGCGACAATGAATTTCGCATATGTCACAAGGCGATCCTCCGACCCTGTCCAATTCCCCTTCCCCTTACCACTCCCCCTCCCCCTCTCTCGGGCTAAAAAAATAAACAACGACAACGCCAACAGCATCCCATGTAAACAGAGGAGCAGTCGCAGCAGCTGAAAGGCAATGCGAATCTTTCAGCCGATTTTCGGTTTTTGTGTTTTTCCACTTTTTTTTTTTTGGGACTAAAGGGAACAATCACTTTTATTTGGGGATTGTCACCCTGCACAGTGGGTAATGGGATTTCTTAGTTCGGCTTTAAATAAAGACTCATTCTTTTAATACATTTTTCAGTTCTGGATATGTTAAAATATAAAGAAACAATTGGGTATACCCTCAAAAAATACTTACATTTGTGCGATTACTAGAAGTTACCCTTTTAATTATCACTTTTACTATATTTCATTATATTTATATACAAATTATTGGGTGTAACTTAAAAGTCAATCCATTAAACTGACGGACTTAAAATGTTTTGCTTCACATTTCAGTATCGTAGTAATTCTGAAGCAACTCTATAACAAATATTTGTAAAATTCTTTATGACGATTTAAAAAGTAAGAACTATTTTTATTTTTATAACTTTCTCTCATACACTTTATAGCGCATTTAAATAGCTCCCAGGGCCAAACCCTCCGCGAACTGCAGGAGCTAAATGAAAAACCTTGGCACTCTCGGATATCTCGGTGCCCCGGCGCAATAAGCGGCGATCACAATAAATGCCAAGCATCGATGGTTTCTTTCTCGTTTTGCCTTACGTTTTTTGGCTGCTTTGTTTTTTATACAGTCGGACATCCTCACCGCCTGCCTTACATCGACGACGAATATCGGATAATTTTTTGGCATGTCTGTGCAATTACCTTTATGTTTATGCGATTTCGCAAACGGCCCCGGCCCAACTAAAACGAGGACGGAAGCTAACTTCGGCAAGCCGAAGTTTTAATACCCTTGCAGACTTTGCCGAAATTGCTAAAAGTGAAAAAGTAGTGAAAGGAATAAGGTATACATAAATATACTAGATTTGCATCGTTTCAAGTCAATTGCTTTTATACTGCAAAAATGTCATATACAAATAGAAAAAAAGGGATACTTTCGCAGCCTTAAAATTAATTAATTAATTTTTCCTATCTCCTTTAAGATATAGACTTCCGAGCGGCAAGCGCTTTTACCCTAATCAAGATATGCGTAAATAAATAAGAATTGGAAAAATTTATGATAGTTGCTTACACACTTCGCGAAATATTCTGATAATCATCAAATTTGGACCGATTTCACCCTATTGTTCCTATGGGGGCTATAGGATATAGACGTCCGATCGGCACGCGCCTTCACCTTGATCAATGTATGCATAAAAAAATACAATTTGGAAAGATTCATGTCAATAGCTTGTATACTGCGCGAAATATCCTAAAAATCATTAAATATTAACCGATTTTACCCTTTTGTTCCTATGGGAGCTATAGGATATAGACGTCCGATCGTCACGCGCTTTTACCCTGATCAAGGTACGCATAAAAAAATACGATTTGGAAAGATGTATGTCAATAGCTTTTACACTGCGCGAAATATCTTCCATTCTTGCAAGTTATATCCGATTGTTCCTATGGGAGCTATAGGATATAGACATCCGATCGGGGCGGTTTTCAAACTTGATCTGCGTACACTTGTTTTAGGACGAGTGTGAAAGTTTCAGATCGCTAGCTTTTAAATTGAGCTCGCAAACGGTATTGAAACAGACGGACAGACGGACAGACGGACGGACGGACAGACGGACAGACGGACAGACGGACATGGCTATATCGACTCCCCTATTGATCCTGATCAAGAATATATATACTTTATAGGGTCGGAAACGTCTCCTTCACTGCGTTACAAACTTCTGACCAAAATTATAATACCCTCTGCAAGGGTATAAAAAGCCGAATAAAATATAAATGTGTGTGTCATGTGTGTCAGGTTGGAAGGCACTTATAAGGCCGGGACTTGGAGGACAATGGAGCAACAATGGGGCAACAGGTGGGCCCAATCCGAATGCGAAATCAACGCTCACTTAGCTCGAAGGCGGTGGATCTGGAGCTGGAGATGGGGCAAATCTTTTATAACTAAATCCCGGCTGCCATCTCATCAGCTGGCGGCTTTTGGCCAAATTGGATGCTGATTGCCGGCCATTTGGATTTGGAGCTGGCCTAATGATTGCTAATTTAATGCCCGCTGAGCGAGCGGAAATGACACTAAAGTGAGGTGTCCGAAATGAGCATGTGGCTGGTTAGGGATCCCTTACTGGTTGTCCGAATCCTGTCCGAAGGACACGTGCGCCTGCGCATGACTGCCTCTGATTGGTAATCACACATCTTAAGCCACGGCGGAAGTGGCAAATGCGCCTGAAATAAATCAGGTTTATTTGCCATTCCATCAAATGGCCAGTTTATAAAGATCCCAGCCACCCACCCACTGGGGCGCGTGTGCTGTCCGCCTGACCAGCAATAACAAAATGCAAATGCCCCAGCAGCACCCACCTTGTTATTTTTGGCCAGTCCAACTCGAGATGGCCAGAGAAATAAAAAGTAAAAACAAATCAAAGGCAAGTTCACGCGTCATCGCCAGGCAAAAGTCGATTTAGCCGCAAAAACAGAATATTTAGCATATAGCGGCAGCTCCGCCTCCGATATACACGCCCACGTCTGGACCTTACAGACGCCCCCATCCCCCAACCTCCTCCTCCCCCTCCCCCTCTTTTTTATTTGGGAAAACTTTTCCCCGGATTCCGCCTTTAGTCGTGCTCGGTTTGCGTTCGTTATATTTTTTTGACAGCCCCGTCTCGCATTGACGTCATTGACGTGCTGCAAAGGAATTTGTTTTTCGTGAAAAATATTTTCGCGTTTTGCACTTTTTTCTTGTTTTTGTTTTAAATGTGTTTTGCGTTAGGGTAATGTTTTGTTAGGGTAAAGGAGGGTTCCATATGTTTTGGATATCAATATACAATATAGTTTAAAACCCCAAAGATCTACTATTTAAAATATATACATAGTATCATCTATGTTTAAGCCAAAAATAATGTATTGAAATATTTTTTTTAATTAAATCATAAAGCTTAGTTTATAAATGTTCATTTCAAATTTTCAAGGAGTTTTTGTTCTAAAAAAATATAACTTAAAGCATGCCGTGACGAACTTATAATCATAATAATTTCAAACTCGCTTTTTATGTTTACAAATTTGTTAAGAAAATGTTTGTTAGTGATAATTAGTAATGTCTGTGCCGCATTTTAAAAATAATCGAAATTTTCGGGACCTTAATTATTAAAGAAATCAGCATTTCCTAATTACAATATGTTTTTTACATTTTTAATGGTTTTCAAATACCTTAAAAGGCAACACTTAATCAACTAAAATCAAGCAAAATCTTCTACTAATGTAAAATAATGAAAACTAAAAATTCTGTAAGAGTAATTGCAATTCGTGAAAATCCAAATGTTATTTTAATTCCCTAAGTTGTTATCTTACGGGGAAACTCATTTTTAGGCCCGCTGCTGACGCCTTTGGACCACCATCATCATCATCCTCACGGAGATCACCAAACACGCATTGTTCGCCCGGCAGTTGCGATCCGTGTTCAATATGGTTTTCGCCAGTTTCAGATCGCCCTGCTGCCATAACCGGCGATCGTCATCACCTGGATCTGGAGCCCTCTGTTTAGAATCAGTCGAAAACTCGAAAGCGCGTCATCGCGGCGCACGTCAGTCGATAATTCCACGACTACGGCCGGAATCCAGGGGATCTGGGTATCTGGGTATATGTGGATCGGTGGATCTGGGGGCGATCTGTGTGGGAGGCGGCACTATTTTTAGCCGTGAGACGAGCCGC